TTTATGCGGAACTTTGAATAGTAAATAAAAGACATATTATTAAAATAAAATAATATTTTTTTAAAGGTTTAAAGTGTTATAATCTGCCAAGAGGTGTAATACCATCACATTATAGTACGTCACACGAAAAAAAATCTCTTGAATTTGACAGTTGTAGGAAATTAATCTTACATTTCATTGCAGTAGAAAATTTCTGAGTCATTAACATAAATCTTGGGTGTTTCAGAGCACCATTTTTCTATTTTTTTTATTTGGAGTTTCTACAGAATATATTGGAAACTTGAGGTTACATGGTAACTAAAGCGTGTACACAGGACAAAAAGAGGTGAGAATTTGATTGGTTAACTTCTAGTGATGTTTTTTTTTATCTTATATGCAATGCAATGTTGTGTAAAATTTTGTCTGTAGTACTGGACAGGATAAAACGTTACTCATGCCAAGTATTTCTTTATTTGAAACAAAAGATAAATTCTTCAGAATGTTTTCGAAAAGTGCAAATTTTACAAAGACTAAAAGGGGAAAACAATGGTGGTATTACACCTAGAAAGTAGATAAGTTGACATAAAATATAAACAGTTAACTGAAGGCAGTTATCAATAATAAGTTAATAACCATCTGTTTAATTTAATAACAAACTTGAAATTTCTGAAAATAATTGAAGGCTTGAGAATAATTTTAAATTGAATAACAGATGTTTTGTTTTATTTCCTCAGATTTTTAGAACATCTTGACAATAGTCCAGGCTTTGTCTTCATTTTTTTAAGAAATGGATGCTTGTAACATATTTTATTTGCTCGTTTTTAAAAGATGACTTTTGTGGACGTCGCATGGCGACGTTTCCGTAGATTTTACTTTATCCAGTGAATACTTCATCTTATATATACTGTGAAAGTTTTTTTGTATATTTAAATATATTTACCTATGTTGAAAGACGTGTAAAATCATAAAAGTACAAATTGTTTAGTCTCAAAGAAAAGTTGAAGATTTTAGCTGCTATTTTTGCTGAATAGGTGCAATTTGGGTAGTATGACGTTAAACTGGTGTTACTAGTGGGGCAGTAACTGATTACCTTTCTAGTGCACAAACGATCACTCCTCCGTTGACATTACTTGTCGGCATTTTATTTTTCCAAGTACGGTAAATAGTTTTGAATAAAATGTTGTCATGATTTATAAGAGTGACGTGATAGTCAGATTTTGCTCCATTACCATCACATTCAATATCAGAGGCAACTTTGGCAATGTGTATATTTTTATTGATGATATCCATATGTTCAGCGCTCTCATTTTGTCTTGTTACTACTTACAGCTGAATATTTCGGGTCCCTTTATGGCCAAAAACACTTGTACATATTGTAATTTTGTTGTCTCAGAGGCTTTCTATAGACTTACATTCAGAGCAATATATATATGAGATCCCATTTAATCGATTTTATTTAGCCATGGGTTCTTTCCTGTCAATTTAGTAGTAGGTTCTACGAAAAATCAAGGGACACCGTTGATGATTTCATCTAAAATGTCACATCCATTCGGATTAATCAAGGAATTGATGTGACTTGCGTGCTTCATTGCTTCCGCACAACGGTCTGTTGTCAAATAGTTCACCAGAATATACGAACATTTTTACTAGTAGTGCCTTTTTCTGCCTCTTGGTCTGCCAAAGAATTTTTTTTAAACTGGTCCTTTATGGTTACCTGGGATACAGCTATGAGTAACGGACAATTCCTTCCAACAGGGAACTAGATCAGATATTTGATGTAACGCTCTATTTTTAGAACTAAAGAAGATTTCCTAACTTTGATTTCCTAATTTTACAAAAATAGATTTACACGACAACAATTTATCGATAAGCCACACGACAGAGAAAAGTAGGGTTGAGAACGCATAGTTTGACATATATTTGGGTTTTCTTTTGCATGAATTGGGTTTTTGAACGCTGCAATTGTCAACTGAATTGGATTTTCAATTGTTTTTATTGCGTAATCACGCAATTTCACAGCTTATCTGGAGCTCTGCGCGGCCTGTATAAATACCAGGTCACGTCCGGTCAGTGTTTTTTTATCTGATGAGTGAATCCCTTTTCTACTGATTTTGATAGTTTGTTCATATGTTGTACTGTTACACCACTGTCCCGTTTAATCCCACCACATTCTAAAAGTGCCTGTCCCAAGTCAGGAGCCTATGATTGTTTCTCATATTTGTTTTTCGTTTATTGTTTTGTCAAGTTTGATCTTGTGTTTGGCCGTTTCACCATGTTAACTTCAAACACGTTCTTAACATAGGTCAGTGGTTGTTGTTGGTTCATGTTTGTCATATTTGTTTTTCTTAAATTGTTTTGTTATAAATTAGGCCTATAGTTTTCTAAATCGCATTGTTTCATATTTTTCATGTCGGGGCCTATTATAGCCGACTATATAGTATGGATTTTCTCATTGTTGAAGGTTGTACGATTGCCTATTATTGCTTACATCTATTTCATTTGAACTTAAGTGGATACATGTAAGTATCTCATACATGTACCACATCTCTTTATTTTTATATTATGAAGTCAGTATAATCATGATAATTGTCTTCATTGACTGGTTTGCTACATATTTTCTCGGTTACATGATCCAATTGGCTATTTTTTAAAGTTAAAAGTACATGCATAGGTGATGAGAAATAATAGCACTCAATTACATGAATAACCTTTTGATTTTGAAATTGTTGTAAAATGAAAACTTTGTATATGTGGCAAGATTTAAAATGCCAATAAACAATATATATACTTGTTTCTAATGTAAACGAATTATAACCACATGCCCTACAGCATAAGCCACAAAAAATACTGATCGACCAGAAACAAGTTTTGTGAAATGATTTAATTTTAAAACAATTGTAAGCCTGCAAACGAGTAGGGAAACGTTCAAGACTTTACAGGTGTTTAACCATTAAAGGCTGACTAATTACAGAACTACCTCCCTCCCCCAAAATATTTGAATTTAATTCTGCTATTTCACCCAGATGATTCTTGGGAAGAATGAGTGTTTGCCGTAATTACAGGATACAAATGGTAAATGGAAGCATTTTTCGTGCATATTTCTTGATAGTTGTTTGGGAGGTACTGGACGACCTTTCCTTATTATGGCCATTTTGTACAGCATGGCGATTCTCGAGATTCTAGATCTGGAGATACAACATTGCAAAATAAATATTCTGCTTACATAAAAAGCCCCGGGAAAAGTCAAGGTGGACAAACTGTCAGAACATTTATGACAAGTATTATGAACTATGATTATATAATGTTTTGACTGTAAAAAGAGGGGGGGAGAATTGCATTTTTTTTGGTTCACAGAAAATGCTTTGGAATTATTTCCGTTTATGATAAATTGTACGCTATCAAATGATTTTTTTCTCGTCAATTGCTCTGATAGTTAGCGGACGATGTAAAAATACTTACTTTGCAGACGCATCACCTTTTGTTAACATATATTTGTCGCATATTTGATGGTCCTTCGCGTGTAAATCAAGTGTGAAACTGCTTCATAAGCTACCAAAATGAAGCTCGTTTTCTATAATTTTCGATCTGCATTACAGTATTTATGAAAAGCAATCTACGTGATCGATTATTATGAATTATCTTGTCTTTGTCTTTTCTCCGAGAAAAAAAAAACATGCTCCTTTTTCCAAAACGGAAGTGCATTTGCAACAATGAAAATTGCAGCATTAAACTTTATAAAGTTATTTAATTGCAGTTTTCAATTATTCCACTCATCTTCAATGTATTTAATCAAAATCAATTATTGTAATACTCCAAATTAATTGAAGTGGCTAATTACGACAATGAGAATGACTTACGATATCATTGCGCAACATACTGCGCAGAAGTCGCGAAAACTCCCATACCACCTAGGGAATAGAGAATAACATTGATTGATACCTCTTGTATATTAACCAACTAGAACAGTGTTCATAATTCATAATACAACTTTAGATATTTGAATATAGAGATTAAACCCATTCACAAAAATCAGAAACAAAACCTAAAAATGCATAAAGGACAATTCAAGAGTGTCGAATGATTTTTCACAATATAAATTGAGGACATGGTCTTGTATGTTTTCTTCTCCAATTTTTCTATCATAATTACATAAAACATGTTTTAACCTCATCTAATCTCTGTATTCCTTATTACAATCAGAGACATATATGTAGGACTCGGACATGCGATGGGGACGCTGAAGTGCGATGGTCACGCTGAAGTGTGATGATCTGCTGAAGTGCGTTGGTCCTTTCGCTGATGTGCGATGGTTTATAAGACGTGTGGTGCTAATTTAAAATCAACAGATGTCCAATTATTATGAGAGCTGGAAATTTTTAAAAGTTAGTATATAAATACCAAACATTCAATATTTTCTCCAGTTGCAGTAAAAAAAACATTGGTGGTCTATCTTATTCCTTGTTCTCATTCACATCAGCCGTATAGATTTTTCACTTGTTTTGTTTCGGTCTGACTAACCAAGAAGTGTTTGCAATTAGTACTGGTTTTAAAGGAAATTAGCATTTGTATATAGTGTCAATTTCTAAACGATTGTATGAACAACTGCATTTTTTGTTTAAGCTACTAGTATTTACAAAGTACAGTGTACACTACACTACAACGTTACAGTAAGTACTGAAAATGCAATGACTATTTATCATGACTGTTTTAAATTAAACGGGATTTACCCTCGATGTTTAAAGGGAGGGGGAAAGCTACTTTTAACAAACAAATAGACTTATTTATCGACATGTGAACATGCAAATTATTGAAAGTATGATTTATGTAATCCATCGCACTTCGGCGTAGCTATCAACAAGATAGCGTCACAATGCCACCATTGCCCTTCGGCGTGTTCAAAAACGCACTTCAGCGTCAAACCATCGCACATCAGCGTGACCATCGCGTTCAGAGTCCAACATATATATACAGTATATATGTCTCTGTAATAATATACACAATAGAGTATACTATTATTTTAGGTTTTGCAGCAGGCCAAGACTATTATCGTTCTAATTATTATGGCGGTCCAGCTAATATGCTTTGTCTTCCAAACAATCCTGAACTAAGTAATAGAACAGCACCCGATAACAGCTTCTTGTCTGGAACAGAATACGAAGAAAATTTTTTTGTTAATGGTGCAGCAAATGAAGATGTCCCATGTGCACTATGCAGAAGCGCAAATACGTCAGCAACTATAATGATACCTGGAAGGATATCGTGTGATAGCGACTGGAAATTAGAATATTATGGTATGTTAGCATCAGGTTCCTACGGTCATAAACCATCATCATACATTTGCCTTGACAGTCACCCAGAATTTCTACAAGCTGGACAAGATGACAAAAATGGTCATTTACTGTATGCTACCAAAACTAATTGTGGATCTTTGGCTTGTCCTCCTTATGTTAACAACATGGCTATAAACTGTGTCGTTTGCTCTAGATAAAGCATCGAAATAATTGATTGCAATAATCATTATTTTTCATCTGCAATGACTGAGTGAAATTTGCCAATTCAGTTTGATACCAATTGAGATGTTAATCAATAAATCTTTTTTTTTATTTCTTAATCTACTTTTGTCAGGAATCAGAATGAAAAGAACTTCGGTAACATTGAAAAACCAGAAATTCTTCACACAAAAAGACAAATATTTTCCCTTTTTCTCGAAAGACCTTCATATTTGTAAAACATCTTCACACGCTGTGTAATTTTTACCCTTTTCAGAGATTCTATATCTAAGTTTGTTGTAGGCATTTATTTACAATTTTTCCTTATGTTTTTTTCTTGCTATTTTGGCCCTGATGGTCTGATTACGGGGTGTTGGCACGGGGTTTACTTCCTATTATTGGGTATACGGGGATGTTCTAAAAATATTGATCATAATTTTGCGCTATTTTGTATAAAAATAACACTCTTTTTTATGACATCCTATATTAAAATACATCCTAGATGAACAGTTCTTGTCAGTCTTTACACTAAAAACTAACTATCCTTTACCAGATACAGGGGTAGGCCCTCATCCAAATATTACAAAAATTAACATTTCAATACTTGGCATTACAAAAGTAATGAACTGCATCAACCATACTAAAGCCACCAGCCCAGATAATATCAGTGGTCATATCTTAAAAGATATACAAGAACAGATAGCAGCAACAATAATAATCATATGTAAAAAGTCGCTCAAAACTGGACAGACACAAAGGATGCTTATGTTGCGACAGTTTCAAAAAAGGCGACAATCATAAATCTGTTAACTACATGTCAATTTTTCGGACTTGCATCTGGTGCAAGTTAATGAAACACATATTGTTTAAAAACACATAATTGATCATCTTGAGTATAAAAGCATCCTGTACGATCTCCAAAATGCATGGCTTCAGTCGCACTCCAATTGTCACATGCACCACCATTTATTGTTGTAGCGTAACACCAATAAGCTAGGAAACAAGCCTCTTTTCATTGTTATCATATTAGAGGTAATTAGATAAACCTATAGGAACAATTTGAAACTGATTTGAAAACTTATTAGCTATTTAATATATTTATATCCTTTGAAATTATTTTGACAAAGAAGATTAAAAGTGTAAATATAGTTTCCCTTTTAATATCGAAAAGAAAGGTGGAATAAGTCCGAAGTGTATTTTTACTGGATTTAACCTCTTCATGAAAGCTCAAACCTAAACATAAAAAATCCAGGGGTGTATAAATACGTAAAATCGTTAGGAGCAATATGATCAAAAGGAACATTAAACGAATAGCCAATTCATCAACTTGGAGTTTAGAACATTAGTTTCTCAATATTTTCTTTATTTATCAAGACTTTATTCTAAAATATATATTTTAAATCAAGTCAGTACAAAAGCATTGACTATAGGGTTGATGATTTCAACGGAGATTTAGGTCCACCAGCAGAGTTATCGACCCAGTGGTATTGAAAGAAGTTAATACTTTATAAATTTCGTACGTCCGGATTCACTTTCATCAGGAAAGCTTTTACATTTAAAGCCATAAATGTAGGAAAACATGGAAAAGTAAGGAACAATATACCACAAGGGACCTTAAAAGAATATCCAAATTTGTTTGAAGATCATCTTTGCCTAATGGAGATGGACCATTTTCAATAGTTTTTATATATCAACAGGGAATCTTAGAAAGTATGGTATAAATCATATTAGTACGGACGCGCTTACTACTGACCTGTAAATATATACCCCTGGGAACGTTCATCAGCATAGATATATTGACCCAGTCCTAGTAAATGAAGATAATATTTAATAAATTTCGTGCGTCTGCAGCCCTTTATTGGTTTTACCTTCATCAGGAAAGCTTAAACATTTACAGTTAAAAGTCAAGGATGTTTAAATGTGTAATATCACTGAGGCATGTTTTCACACTGTTGAGCAGCAGTTCGCAAGTCATTATCAAAATCACTGCAAAATATAATTCTCATGTGAAAGTACTTTTATTCCCATATAATAACACAATTAGCTATTTCATTGTTTGCATTTAATGATGCAATAGCGCTCCCTTTAATGAAAATATGTTTGTGCTAATAAAATTGTCTTTTGTCTATTGCCTATTGTATTATTTGTCGACACTGACGATTTATCTATGAGGTCTTGTTACTCTCTGGTGAACTTTTGGAGAAAAAGGACGGAAAACATGTAAATTATAAACCGGTTAATCCAATTTTAACAAAAAAGAATATTTTTCAGATCAAGAGATTAACTAAATTTAAACTGATTGTTTTACATAGACAATAATGGCACAAAGAATTATTATGTTTACAACACTTTCATTTATATCATAAAGCCGATTGAAAACTATATTTGAAGTTTGAAACAAAACACTTCGAAATCTGATATATATATAGTATTCCAGTTTGATAGATACACAATTTGTTCTACTGCCAACATTCTTGAATTGGTTGTAAGCATGTCTATTGTGTAATATTGAAAGATAAATAAAAACGTCAATAGTTCACTTTAAACTGACAATAATCAAAACAAATATAGGTTTTGATTTTCTTAGTTGATCAATTAAAAGTAACGATAAGTCTAAAGGTGTTTCTGCACTTCTTGGAAGATGAGTGACGTTAATTGAGTCTCGAATTGTCCGAAAACAACAAAGAGATACCGAAAAGACTTTCCTAAAGCCGTCCTATGCACCCTCTTCCTGATATAATGTAGAACGGAAGAGAAGTATTCAGAACTAATATAAAGCTGCCAGCTTACAGCAGAAAGTAATATGTACAGAATCAGAAGGACAAATAAATACTCAACATATACGGTAGATTCAGATAGTGATGATTACAATGAAGATGAACAAAGCTTGAAAAGCTATCCTGAACCAAAACGTGAAATGAGAGAAGTGCCAACTAGGCCAGCCCCTGAACAGCGTCATAACAGAATTATTAAAAGGTATAGTGCTCCTCGAAAGAAAGAACCAGAAGGAGACCGCATTATGTATCCATCAAATCGATGTGTCAGAAGGGTTAATTTGAAAACCAAAAGTGAAGCTGTTCTTTCCTCTGTTTATTACAGAGATAACGCACATAATAAAGTCAATGTCATTCGATCAGAGCCCATAGGTAAACAGATTAATGAAGCATGTTATTTGCCTCGAAAAAATAAACCCGAAAAACATTCATATTTGTCTCCGCCATTCCAATTTATCACCAGGGTAAATTCGGGAAGTGGAAGTGAAAATGAATCTTCAACTGATTACAGTGATAGTACACCTACGAAAGTGCAAATCAAACCGTTTGAAAGAGGAATTGAAAGTTTTTCAAATTCATCTCAAAAACGTATCATACCTTATCACATAATTGGAAAATCGTCTGAGAGCAACACAGAACGGAATGCAGTGACTGAAATTGTATCATCTCCAAAAGATCACGCGGTTGATAAGGTAGGCGCTAGGCCCGATCATATTGTTAAATATAGGATAGAAAGTCTTCCTCGAAAGGAAGTTTCTGAAGGTCAAAAACAAGGAAACAATATGACCCATCAAACCAAGCTGGCAATCAAAAACAATTCTGGTGTAACTTTTATCCGACCCTATACTGAACTTTATGGAATGAATGATATAGTTGAGAACAAGGGTGCTTCAACAGATAAACAGCAAACTTCTTCGAACAGAATAAAACAGAAAGGGGGTTTGGAAAATGACTCGTTTACAAGTTCAAGTGAAAGTTCCGAATCAGATGAAAGTGATGGAAATACAACAGACAGCTCTACAAATCTGCATAGTGTCATATATAAAACCACGTCTACTGGGTCAAATCATACAAAATGTCTTCTCGTGGACTACTCGAAAGTGTTAAAATCTAGAGAAAATAGAGCAAAACTACTTTCTAGTAATACAAAAGACAAAGAACATGAAAACATTGAGGTAAAGATCTATTACGATGAAGATTTTGAATCAATTTATCCGAAGCCACGTAAAAAAGTCCCTAGTTAGTTCTTAATATAGATTTGAGACCACCTACAGAAATACTTGAACCAAAACATTTGACGTATTTGAACGTCATATTGTACCTCAACCGGAGGTAAGAAATCGAAAAAGATGTGATACAAATCACAATGTTGTAGATTAAAATAAGATTAAAATATGGCATTTAAATGGAATACTTTTCTTACGACTGGATTAATTTTTTTGATAAGAATGAAAAGTAACTAGCATTATTCTTTAACTTCAGGTTTCGCTATATTGACGATTTTTTCTCACTTAATATACATAACTAATCTTTCAGTGCTTTAAACTAGTTCCTTAACTACTATAAAAAAAACTTATCATTAACTTTTGCAATAAAACATATGAAAATAGTGGAACTATTTTAGGAGTATAAAAAATTCTTTGGATGTTTTAAATAAATTACGTGCTTTTGATTCTGTTGACAGTTTTGACTTTTCAACTCTTTACACTACACTTCCACCCAATCTTATCAAACAAAAGTTTTCCTATTTGATTAAATGGTCGTTTTGTAAATCTGAATGCAAATATATTTGCTGCAACTCATTTACAGCCGTCTTCTCTAATGAGAAGGTAATTATGCTAGATATACTTACTGGAGGTGTGATAAGATGATTGAAGCTGTTAATTTTCTCCTTGATAATATTGATGTACGTTTCGGCAATACAGTTTATCGACAGGTTGTAGGTATTCCTATGTGCACCAATTGCGTCCCTTTAATAACAGACTTGTTTTTGTACTGTTATGAATCACAGTTTATGACCAAGCTCAGTAAAGACTCGTCTAAATTGAATTTAATTGATAAATTCAACTACGCTTACCGTTATCTTGATGATATTTTGTCGTTAAATAATCAAGAATTTTCTAAATATACTATCGATATTTACCCAAAGGAACTTAATTTAAATAAATCAAATATAAACGGTAATAACTGTCCTTTCCTAGAATTAGATATTTCAGTTTTACACGGGAAACTGTATACAAAAATTTACGACAAAAGGGACGATTTTTCGTTCCCTATTGTTAATTTTCCTTTTTTGGACGGTGATGTTCTTTGGCACCATCTTACGGTGTTTATATATCACAACTCTT